CATACACATGGTGGTGTACACTTGGTGGTGTTGGCACATTTACAAAGGAGATGAAGTTAGAGTTGGTGTGGATCAACTCGGCGATGGAACGGAGGCGAGAAAGGTTTGAAACTCCACCGGCGGAGTGTCCGCCCGTAGAGTGCGGACAGTTCGACGGTGCCACCAGCGCCCTGTATAGAAAAGATAGGGTTTCACAGTGTGCACCGGACGCTGGTCACGCAGTGACCAGACGCTGGGGTCCTACGTCCGGTCAGTGGCAGTAATGAAGGCGCAGGCGTCGGTCTTCGACCGGACGCTTCATCACTTTGTGACTGGACGCTGGGTGTCTGTGTCTGGTCCTGCTAACGTGGCAGCATAGAGAAGAGGAGAAATGATCGGACGCTGATGCTGCGTCCGATCATGTCCAACCGAACGCGTTCGGTCATGAATTTTCACCTCTAGAAGCTTACTGGAAGTGACCGGACGCTGGGGTCCTGCGTCCGGTCACTTTGAGTAGCTGCGTCCGGTCATCACTTGTCCGTTGAGATCAAGCGACTGAGGTTGAACGGAGGCGACATGTGGTGAGCATCCGTTGACCGGACGCTAAGGTCCTGCGTCCGGTCGATATGACCGGCGCGTCTGGTCAACCCGAAAAAATGCCCAGTGAAGGGGTAACGGCTATTTTAGCCCGTGGGGCTATAAATAGAAGGGGGTCTCGGTCATGGCTTGAGTTGAGCACCTTGGGGGACTTTGTGTCCATGCTTGAGAGTGCTTGGGAGCCCTCCATCTCACATATGCTTGATAGTGATCATCCGATTGTGTGAGAGAGCGATTCTAGTGCGATTGCATCGTGAGGTTGCATCGAGTGGCACTAGGTGATTGAGTTGCAAGCCGGTGGTGCTTGTTACTCTTGGAGGTTGCCACCTCCTAGACGGCTTGGTGGTGGTCTCCATCGAAGCCCACAAGAAGCTTGTGCGGTGCTCTGTAGAAGAGCTTTGTGAGGGGCATTGTGCTCGCCCCGTGGGAGCCGCGAATAGCAACTCTAGTAAAGCGTGTCATTGAGCTACCCTCACTTTTGGGGTAGGTTCTTGCGGTGCCCGACGTGCGGGCTTGGCGGGTGATGCCAATTAGCCGCCGAACCACCAAGTGAGCGGTCGACACAACGGGGACTAGCATGTTGGCAAGCACGTGAACCTCGGGAGAAAAATCACCGTGTCAACTTTATTCTTCCCGTTGGTTTGCATCCTCATTACACAAGCTTGTAATTACTTTCATATACATTGTGTTTGTGTAGTTGTTCTTGTAATTAGTTTGCTTGTATAGCTCACTAGTTACCTTCTTGCTTGTGTAGCATAGAAGTAGCTCCCTTGCGTGACTAATTTGGTTTGTGTAACCTTGTTAGTCACTTTGCTTATTTTGTGTAGCTAAGTATTTGCGCTCTCTAATTTAGCATTGGTTGCCTTGTTATTGAGCATTGCTAGTGAGCTTAGTTGGCTTTGTGCTTTTGCTTACTAGCATGTGTAGGAGCTCCCCGTTGGTTAAAGTTTTAGTGGCATAGGTTTGTGTGACCTTGCTTCTAAAATTGATTAGGTGAGCTCTAGCTAGCCCGGCACCTTTGTTGCTTAATTAGGATCTTTGCAAGGTGCTAGAGAACATAAATAGAGGGGTGTAGTCTTGGCTAGACCGATAGTTTTAATTCTGCACTTATTTCGGTTAGCCGACACGATTAAGTTTTAGAAATGACTATTCACCCCCCCTCTAGTCGCCATCTCGACCCTACACGGTGCCTTGAGATACCCGGGGTATCATAACCCCAATAGTAGCCCCCAAGTGTCTTTACAATCACGAAGTGATCATGAAGGTGCTGATATCTACGTGTATTAGATGTGGATTCGAAGTCATTGCTGGTCTGAGCTCGGAGCACCACCCCTTGCGGGCTGGTAAGTTCAATGCGGTAGGCGGCTGCTACGTCCCATCCGTTAGGATGCCCTGACGGTGTGGTACGCGACTGTTCTGCTGAGCCTGGCAGTGTCGGTGTGCTGTGTGCTGGGGTACGTGGTCCAAGCAGGACCGAGTGGTCTCGTCGATGCTATACCGGCTCGGCCTTTAGGAGGTTCTCGATTTCCACGACCTCACGCGGGCATTTGATAATGGTCATGCTTCCCGTAGTTCACCACATGGCGCGGGGGCTTCAAGATGCATAGTCCGCCTTTGGGCCTTTAAATAGGGGCCTTCCTACCGTTTGAACTAGTTGCAACCATGCCTATGAACTGTTCTTAGTCTTCCCAAAAGGCTAAGTTTGAGAGAGTTCCTGCGTAGACAGGATAGTTTTGAGCATGCGACCCGCTAGGGGTCGGTTGCGGTGGCCAAAGGCCGGTGTTGCTCCCTCCAACAACTGGTGCTAGAAGAAGATTTGTGAGTGGGGGAGGATTGAGGCGGTGCTTGGGCCGCCTGTGGGGCCTTGAGATTTGGCGCTTCCCCAAAACCTTAGGTTTGGGGTCGCTGAATCACAGACTCCAAGGGCCGCAATTGGCTTCTCCTGGAACCCATAGGCTACTTGGTGGTGGGTCGTGGTCCTATGTGAGGACCGCTTCCCACTCTCGGGTAGCTGCCTGAGGGTCGGGAGACATGTTGTAGCGCCTTAGTGCCCCCACCGTGCTTTTCGAAGCATGTTGGTGGTGGCCTGCGAGCTCGGCTCCACCCTTTCTCCCCCTATGTGTTTTTGCTCCAGAGGTCATGATGCTACGAGAAGGATCGCGAAGTGATTTTTTGTCTCTTCCCTTCCGCACTTGTAGCAGGCGCCTCTAGGGGTCCCGATGATGCTGCCTTTGTGACGGCGTCGTGGTTCTGTACTTTGTAAGCGGCTCGACCACTCTAGTACTCTTGAACGTTGAATGGAAAGAAGCTTCCTTCGAATGTTTAGGTTGTCCTTATGGTTGCGGCGAGCCCCTGAGTCATGGGGTCGGGGTCATGCCTCTGGTCCAGGGTCGTTGGCCGAAAGAGCCGACTTGCCTCGCGAAGAAATGTTTCCTTGACCTCTTTTTGCGGGGTCATGAGGCTTTCTGTGACCGTGCTCCGACTCGTGGGTCTTAGACCTTTTGTTTGTTTTTTCATGCAATCAAACCATGATCGCGTTCTGGGTTTCGCATTGCTTCACGAGGAAGACGTCGCTGCGCAACCCTAGCCGTCTGCTCCATCGATCTTTCCTGGAGGGGTTGCTAACGGCCGACGGTTTGTGAGACTCTAGAGCTGGCCTCAAGTCTTGGACTTGGGACATAGGGAAGACCTGGTCGTGGCTTGGCCTCTACCTCTAGCGGGGTCACAGGGACGTGCCTCTGTTTTTCCCAAGCGTCCTTGTCGACCTCATGAGGTCGTGTTGCCTTGTTGTAGGCAAATTCGGGTTTGCCCCACGCGGGGCGAGGCTCATCCACTGTAACCACGTGATCAGAGTGGTGCGTCTCGTTAGGGTCGATGGGTAGTTCGAGTGGGACCCAATATCCCCCACAATCGATGTGAAGTTCGGCTATGCCTTGTCATGAGACATCTCATAAACCATCGCCCCATCAAGCCCGTCGGTCCCCAACTGCCTCCGCAGCGGCTAGAGGGCAAGATGCCTCCCCCCAGAGGGGGTCAGCCCGGGCGACTTCGAAGCCTTCAACTCGAACACAAGGAGAGATAGTCGAGAGGCTCCGCACCACCGATAAGAGCCACTAGGGCCCATCTCACCCTGACCTATCCGTTTGTGGCCTCGAGCCCTTCTAAGGGCTGGCCTAAGAGTAGGTTTCCTATACACGACACGGGGTTGCAGACGCGGTCGGTCACCCTGTGCACAGATTCAGGGGGCGGTTGGCCTCCCCAATCATGTCGCGCCTTTAATGGCACCCACTCGTGAAGTGTCTCCGGTTATCCAAAAACTCAAATGTGATACAATATTAGTCCTATGAGGCTAGGACGCACATTTATTACATCAGATAGTCTCAAAGTAGTAGTTCAAATGGAAAGCAGGCACTTAAACCGTGCCAAAATAAAGATTATCCAAAGATCCACACAAATCAATACGCTAATATTGAAAAGTTATTATAGATGTACCATTAAATAGTTTTAAAAATATTTGCAACAACCAATAAATTAGGTTTAAACTAAATTAGAAAAGTACTAAATTAATTAATTCTTTATGTATCATTAAGAGTATTAAATTAATATTGAAAAGTTATTATAGATGTACCATTAAATAGTTTCAATGCATCATTAGTGATATTAAAATTAGATAAATAGTCAGTAAATATGCAGAGAAAACTTTTAATTATATTTATTATAACTTATTCTTCATGGATATGGATAAATGTCGGAAGTTCCATATTTTTGTCGAATACGGATCTAGAATCAGATAGAGAATAATACTGAAAAGGATTTGTATACATCCATTTATTAACATCCACATTACAAACAGATACAAATACGGATATTCATATTACATGTTTTAACGGATACAAATTCAGATAATTTGGAATTCCATATATTTATTTTCATCCCAAGAGAGTATGAGCAAAGTAGCTGGCATTAAATTATAGGCTATATCATGTCTCATCCACGTCACTATCAAAATCGACAGCAACCACTGCGGACGAGCAGTCCCCCAACTCAAAACCTTGAGCTGTCCGATTTGGCTCATGAAGTTAGGAATGGAGTTGGGAGTTATTAGAGCGCAGTCCATAATGTACCGGCGGCACTAAAGTTTCCTATGTGCATTCCCTCAATCTCCACATATATTCAACTATCTCAACTCCGATGCCGTTGTGACCTGTGACGGCCAGTGTTCAGTTCCATTCCAGTCCACTACTCCTTCGCTTGCTTGCTTCTGCGCCATTGCTCCCAGCAATGGCAGAACCTCTCACGTCGTCTCTCTTGCTAGCCCTTGTCTTCCTCACGATCTCAGCCGGCCCTGTGGCATCGTCCTCCCTATCCGGTGACCTAGGGATGTCGCTGTCGACAGCCACACGCCCCTGTCCTTCAAGTCGCTCATGAGTGGCCCATCACTGCAGGCTCTAGCGTCGTGGAGCAGCAATGGATCCACGCCGGTGTGCCAATGGCGCGGCGTGGCGTGTGGCACGAGGGGACGCCGCCGCGGCCGTGTCGTCACGCTGGCACTGCCAGAGCTCGACCTCCTCGGCAAGGTGAGCCCTGCACTGGGAAACCTCACCTACCTGAGGCGGCTTGATCTTCCCAGCAACTGCCTCCACGGCACGCTGCCTCCGGAGCTTGGCCACCTTCGTGAGCTCAGGTATCTCAAGCTCAACAATAACTCCATCCAAGGGTCCATCCCTCCATCGCTCTCCAGCTGCAAGCAGCTCAGGAGCATCCAGCTATACAGCAACAAGTTGCAGGGGCAGATCCCAAGGCAGCTTGCAGCACTCCTAAATCTCGAGGAACTCGTCCTTGGCAAGAATACACTGACAGGAAGAATCCCTTCCAGCATTAGGAGCCTTGCAAGCCTCAAACTTTTGGTGGTAGAGTTCAACAACCTGACAGGAGAAATCCCGTCGCAGATTGGCAGCCTGGTCAACCTCGTCTATCTGGGTCTAGGTTCCAATCAGCTCTCAGGCCCCATTCCCACTTCGCTAGGGAACCTCTCGGCTTTAACAGTTCTTAACGCCTACGAGAATGAACTGGCAGGGAGCATACCCCCGTTGCAAGGCATGTCATCTCTCAGGGAACTTGATCTCACGGCAAACAACATTCAAGGAACCATCCCTCCTTGGTTAGGGAATCTCTCCTCCATGGTATCTTTAAACCTTCAGAGAAATAGCCTTGGGGGATGCATTCCAGAATCTTTAGGGAACCTTCAGTTGCTTTCGTCCATTTCATTGGCAAATAACAAACTTGTAGGTCCTATTCCTGATGCCATCAAAAACATGCATGCCCTTACTGAACTTTACCTAGAGAATAATCAGCTAGAAGGCCCTTTGCCACTTTCGATGTTCAACCTCTCCTCTCTTAAAATGCTAAACATACAAAACAACAGCCTCACTGGGGGGTTTCCACCTGACATGGGCAATAAGCTTTCCAAACTACAGCAGTTCCTTGTATCCGATAATCAATTTCATGGTCTGATCCCACAATCCTTGTGCAATGCATCCATGCTTAAGATGATTCAAACAGTAGATATTTTTTTATCCGGAACAATTCCACAATGCTTGGGAACTCGCCAAGAGTTGCTGTCTGTAGTGAATTTTAAGGGGAATCAGCTTGAAGCAACAAATGATGCTGATTGGGGTTTCTTGACTACTTTAACGAATTGTAGCAATATGATTGTACTGGATGTTAGTATGAACAGGCTCAAAGGAGTGCTACCAGAATCAATTGATAATCTGTCAACACAAATGGAGTTCCTTGGCATAGCATCCAACTATATAAAAGGAACAATAACTGAAGCGATAGGAAACCTCATCAACCTGGATTACCTTGACATGGAAAATAATCTTCTACATGGCCCTATTCCACCATCTCTCGGCAAACTTCAGAAGTTGAATAGATTATATTTGACAAATAACAATTTGTCAGGATCCATCCCAGTGACTCTTGGAAATCTCACCAAACTCACTACCCTTTTCCTCAGTACTAATGCACTCGGCGGTGCCATACCTTCCTACTCTCAGCAATTGTCTTTTAGAAGCATTTGATCTCTCTTTTAACAATCTCTCTGGTCCCACACCTAAGGAACCTTTTCACATCTCAACCTTATCAAGCTTAATGAATCTTGCAAACAACTCATTAACTGGGACTTTACCTTTGGAAGTGGGAAATCTCAAGAATGTAGTTGAACTCGATATGTCTGATAATATGATTTCAGATAAGATTCCTACCACCATTGGGGAGTGCCAAAGCTTACAATATCTCAATATGTCCGGGAACTTCCTTGAGGGAACAATTCCCTTAACTGTAGGACAGTTAAGGGGTCTCCATGTCCTTGATTTTTCTCGAAATAATTTATCTGGCAGAATTCCCAACTTCCTCAGTGGTATGACAGGTCTTTCTAGTTTGAATCTTTCATTCAATGGTTTTGAAGGTGAAGTTCCAAATGGTGGAATATTTCTTAATACAACAGCAACCTCAATCATGGGAAACAGTGATTTGTGTGGTGGAATCCCTCAATTCAAGTTAAGAGCATGTTCCACTATTGCCAAAAAGAAGCTATCTTCAAAGATTGCCGTGTTTATCATCGTAAGCAGTGCAATTCTGCTTGCCATACTATCTGCGTTGTTCGTGATATGCAATAGGAGTAACCTTAGAAGAGCAAACCCGAACGTATCACTATCCAGTGAGAAACACATCAGAGTTTCTTATGCCGAATTGGCCAAAGCAACAAGTGATTTCACATCCAGGAACCTCATTGGAGTAGGCAGCTTTGGTGCAGTGTACAAGGGGACAATGGAAATCTGTGCCCAACAAGTGGTGGTTGCAGTGAAGGTGCTCAACTTGCAACAAGCTGGTGCAACTCGAAGTTTTGATGCAGAATGTGAGGCTTTGAGATGTGTTCGACATCGGAACCTTGTAAGGGTTATAACAGTGTGCTCAAGCATTGATTACCGAGGTGCTGATTTCAAGGCACTTGTATTTGAGTATCTGCCAAATGGAAATTTAGACCAGTGGCTACACAAGCATCTGGAGGAAGATGGTGAACCCAAGATTCTAGATCTTATTGGGAGACTCCAAATTGCCATTGATGTAGCTTCTGCAGTTGACTACTTGCACCATCACAAACCATTTCCAATTATTCACTGTGACCTCAAGCCGAGCAATATTCTTCTTGACAACAACATGGTTGCACATGTTGGCGATTTTGGGCTTGCAAGGTTCCTACATCAAGAACACATTGACAAGTTAGAGAGATCAAATGGATGGAGTGCAGTAAGAGGAACAATTGGTTATGTTGCTCCAGGTGCGCATAAGTCTACTCATTTAATTTATAGTGAAGCCATCTGTTTAAAATTTCCTTCCATCTAACACAGTGTTTGTTGAATCCAGAGTATGGACTGGGCAATGAAGTCTCGGTCCATGGTGATGTCTACAGTTATGGTATACTATTGCTGGAGATGTTCACTGGAAAAAGACCAACAAGCTCTGAGTTTGGGGAAGCTCTTAGCCTTCATAGGCATGTAGAAATGGCACTGTCAGATCAAGCAGCCAATGTCATTGACCAAGACCTACTAAGAGCAACAGAGAGTGTTCAAGGAATAGCACAGAACTATCATGGCACTGAAGAGAATGAAATTGGTTGCATCGTTTCGGTTCTGAAGGTTGGAATTATGTGCTTGGAGGAGACACCAACTGATCGCATTAATATTGGAGATGCACTGAGAGAGTTGCAGGCAATTAAAGAAAAGTTCTGCATGCATCAGAGATCTTCTTGGTGAATTAGCAGCAAATCACTTGCATATTGTATTCATGGTTGTGCTTGTGCATGAGACACATCATAAATTATCGAGGATCAGTAATGGTGTGTGCAAACCAGTCATTTAAGTTTTGAAGAAGATGCTGGAAGCTGAAAAGACTTTAGCAGAAGCATTTAACAAGAAAGCTATAGTTTTTCCAACTCCTTGTTACCAACTATCTTAGTTTAGTCATTTTAGGAAAGCTTCACCTCCTATTCCAAGTAAAATTGATGATGTCATGTCATGCAAAGTAATGGTATGCATATTGCTCTATTTTCATACCTGTATATTATAATCATTTAATCACTGCTAAGAGGAAACAATTCCCCTCAGTTAGGCACATTAAAAATTTCCATGCCCTGTAATCTACTCATTTGCAGACTCAGTTATCTGTAGGCTTGCATCCCCCATTGAGTTATTTCTTTTTGCAACTTCTGTACAAGTAGCAAGCAGCAATCGAAGAGATCTCTAGGAAGGAGATCGACATTTACGTAGCTCCAGTGTCGAGTAGCGTACCAGGTAGAAGTAGTGGTGGAACTAGACGGCAATTGCCATAGGATGCGCAGGGGTTGATGCTGCCGGCTGCTGCATGTGTCGAGTCCGATGGTTGGTGGAACGCTGAAGCAGCAGCTAGTGGCGATGTTGCAGGGTGGCTGACGCTCCATGAGGAAGAAACTGCAAGCCGAGCGTGACTGACAGACATAGGACAACGTAGACACCTAACCCTGAAACTAGTAAGCAGGCTTCACAACGCCTGACTAATGGATTTCTTTTTTTAGAAAACAAAAATTTTATCATGAACATCGAGGGGTCATGTTTAGTATTCATTATCTTCCATGCGGCAGAAGTTTAGTTCTTCTTTTCATTTAAGCTTGACTACAGCAATATACACTTAGGCAACAAGCTAAGTTTCATGGAATTACCCTACCAGGAGCATCTGCTGATCAGATTCTGAAGCAAAAATTCATCATTGTCTTGCGCAACGTGCTTCTTGGATCTGATTGATCCAGAAGGATTGGTGGAACATCCAAACACTATCTTTCGTCTTCCAGTTTCGACATTCCACTTTAAATATGCAACCTCATGAGATGCCCCATAATACATGGATATGTTTTCGCAGTGAAATTATGGTTTAAATATGTTCACAGCACTGAGAACTCCTGTGAAAAATACCTCATTATGTGCAGTTCTAGTCCAGCCTTTTCTCCTCCCAATTTTGGCCTCATTAAGTCTGTAGTATGCTGGATCTCTCTCAAACTCTGAAATTGCCTTCTCCAGTTCACCCACCTTATTCGAAATTATATCCAAGTGAGTAAAGGACATTGGCGGTACCACAAAATAAGTAGATGTAATTTTACGATAACCTTTCTGGTACTTAGCATAATAACAGCACTACATGAGCGGCTGATAGTGATGCTGCCTGAGGTGTAGCAGGCATGCAAAGGAAAATGTCTAACATGGAAATCCTTCTGAATAGCATGGATTGGAAATTAGAATAACAACAATCCAAATGCTGAGGCAACTCCATTCCATGCACCTGCCATTGGATACTTTCAGCTGGTTCAGCAGTTCTTTGTTCAGATAAAAAATATTCTCCCATATTCAATTCAGGTGTATGCTTCCTATTGGTGTAATGCACCTTGCACTTTGTCATTCCCTACAATAACAGGAAAAGAAGGAAGCTTTAGTCATATCATATGCAGCATAAATGGGTACGCAATGTATGAATTCTAGTCTAGGAATCAAAATATGACGACTAGTGGTGTAACAGCTATTTCTTCGAACATCTGCACACAGCCAAGAAAACGGCGCCAGCCGCCAACTCTGCTCGATTCACTGCTCCCTACCCTACCATGCCACCGCGACTCACTACACGCACAAACTCTGCAGCGCGGACGGATGAGCATCAAAGAAGACCCTCGCGGTTCCGAACAACGAAAGAAACGGGCGGATGGAGGAACGGGGACCAGAGGGTGAGCAGAAGGTGAGCAGCTCACCGAGTCCTGGATCTCGTCCTTGACGATGTAGAAGGGAGGCCCTGCGCGGGGGTCATCCTATTATCGCTGTGCCGGAGTGCCCCAGCCGTCGAGACGAGATCCCGCCTCCGTGCCTGCCTGCCCCTGCCCCTGCCCGTGGCTCCGTGCTCTGCCAATGAGCAGGGGAGGTGAAGGGGAAGAAGGGAAAGGAAGGGGAAGGGAGTACAGATTGGGCCAGAGAAGTGGGAAGTGGGCTTTCATGGGCAATCCAACTTTCTCTTGCCTTGCTCAAAAGACCGAAGGAAAAACATTTTTAACTCCTTGGATTATTGTCACGGTTCAAGTTTTCTCTCTGAATCATTTCCTCCAAGCTTCTTTCGTGCATCTCCATTCGATGGTGTGGACGTGTGGGTGCTTAATGCAAAGTTGAGGGACGCCACCGGGTTGGGCTTGTTCGGTTCATATTAAAGCCGACTGATAAGCTGGCTGAAGTTATTTTGTTGTGAGAGAAAAATACGGTAGATTATGGCTGATAAGCCGGCTGATAAGTTCAAGCGAACAGGCCCTATGGGGTGGAGGCGTGGAGCTATAGTGATTTCTTGGTATGCGAGGATACCCAACTTTTTGAGGTAAATGCATCGTAGGCCCTTGAACTTATCTTCGGGTGCCACTTAGGTCCACAAACTCTCTAATCGTACTTCTGGCACCCTAATGTTGTTTAAGTATGCCACTTAGGTCCATGACTCATCGAAAAAGGTTTTGACCGACGTGGCGTGGACAGAATGCTTGTGAGTCGCGCGTGAGCCTGGTTTGGGGCGTGCAAATAAGCAGAGAGCCCCCTAGTGCATTATATTCTCCCTTGTTGATTCATTTCGATTCTAAGGACGTTCCCGAATGAATTTGGCCGTGATGTGGATGCATGCATGCATACGTATGCAGGAACGGGTCGGACGCGCGGGGCTACTTCGTGCGGTCGTTCCTGGACGTGTTCGAGTTCATCTTCGCCTACAGGATGCGCTTCGGCCTGTGCGGCGTCGACATGAACGCCGGGGCCCACGCGCTACGTGCGGAGCTCCACGCGCTGGTACGCCGGCTTCCTCCGCGGCGGCGAGCTCCGGCCGCCGCTCCCGACGACGTCAGGCCGTACGCCGCGTGACGTAATAAGGCCTCCCTCAAGCGACGACGGCGACAGCACATGCATTGTTGTTATCGTAAGTAGCACGCACACCGAGGGCCGGTACGGTGGGAAATAATCTAGCTGGTGAATGAATAAGCAGATTCGCGTGCAGAGAGACGCGCGCTGTTACGTTGCTGTCTGATGTAACTATACACGAGTGACCGAGGTCATTCGATCGATCGGGAATAAAACATCGTGATAGACGACGACATGCGTTTTTACTGTGTCTGATGGAGCTATATACACTAATGTAAACGAACCATCAATCTGGTATCAGATGCAAGTAAAAACGAAGTAGTAGTACTGTAATACTAGCTTAGAGTACAAATTGGGATTTTTGCTGCTGTTTAAGTCACGAGTGAAGTCACGTTTTTTTGTCGGCGATGGCTTGAATATTCGTATCCTAGTTGAAAACCTAGCAGCAGCTACTAGCGGCAGGTAGTCGAAAGTGACGCTGAGGCAGGGGAATTTGTACTCCGTCTTCTAGATAGATTCCTTGGTGAATATAAGTGAAGTCTCGATCAGAAAGAAACAACAGCGAGGAGTGGACTAGAAACGCCTGACCGAGCTGGCTTCCTGTCTGTCTCTGGAAGAGACCGGGGGCGGCGCCACCTGCACTGCACAATCGCCCGGTTCCTGTTCAGTGTTGCCTCGTGGACGACAGCGACGATATGCAGGGACGGCTGAGCCGCTGAGGTCTGAGGCTCGATGCACTTGCACGCGCGGGTACACGTACGTTTCATCCGCGCCGCCGATCGAGCAAAAGCAAGCGCCAAGGCGGCCGACGCGCGCACGAGAGGACGGACGGCAACGCAATGTACGATGTCGCCACGTGCAGAGCCGCTAATAACGAACCCGGGTGGGGCGGGCAGGAGCCAGGAGTAAAGAGGCCTCTCCGCGCGAAGTCAGCGACTGTATACGTCCGCGCCACGGGGTCACGGGGCGGAATGTCCTAGTTTGCCACCGGGGACGGCCGGCCCCGGCCCACGCTCAAATATATAAAACCACACCCCCCGCGAGCGCGGCCGGCCGGCGAACAAACAGATAGGAGACCCACTGAGGCTGGCCGGAGCGCTTGGGGCCTCTACGCTTATTTGCACGTCAAAAGGCCAGGCTCACGTGTGCTCGGTCCACGCCACGTCGGTTAAAATCTTGTTTCAATAAGTTACGGATCTAAGTAGCATATTTAAATAACATTAGGGTGCTAGAAGTACGGTTAAGAGTTTGTGGATCTAAGTAGCACCTGAAGACAAGATGAAGGACCTACGATGCATTTACCTCCAACTTTTTTTTCCTAGAACATCGAGTATATCGTCCTTGACCAAACTTTTGGATGGTGCACGGTGAGAAAATGGTTACAAAGTTGGAGTTTTGGGATGGGTTGTCATCAATGAACTATCAGATTGTTCGGCTGATTATCAAGACCACTGTTCCAGCTGCTGCTGCATGAGTATTGCTAAGAATATGCAAATGTTGGATGGCTGATTGCTGCTCTGCTGCAAACTAGCAGCTGAACAAGCTATATGTTCCTGCTTTATTCTAGAGGGGCACTATTTATAGTGCCAAAGTTACACTCGAGAACTATAACCATAACGCTCCTATCCGGGAGCATACCCCTAATATCATAGGGATATTATGGTCTTTTGAGTTTAAGTCCATATAGGAATCGAAGTAGAAATTGACTTTCTAGGTTAGTGCCCATGTCCTCGCTTCTGCCCACCCTCCAAAACATTGCCACCACCTCCTCGGGCATAGTAGGACTTAGTTTCGGACCGCTTGAAGGTGTCTTTGTGTTTACCCTTCGGGAGAGGCCGGTGGTGCGCCCTAGT